CTCCCCTCCCCTCCCCCTCATCCAATCTCTCTGGGCATTGACTTTCAAGTGCCTGAATCCAGACTAATCAAACTGCTTTGTTATGGTATTTTGACCTTATCTACCTTTTTTTCCCAGTAGTGTTGTTTTTTTAATTACTTTTTTAGGTTTTCTCTCCTTATCTGATCTGTCAAGAGGGTCCCATGGACATGCTCTAGGAAAGGCAAAACCCATTGACAGCTGGGTTTGGGAGATGGGCAGCCAATGATGGGCTACAGGTCTCTTGCCTGGTGTTTTGCTGTCCCAGATCTCCACACTCTGCAGAGCTCATGAGACTTGGACTAACATCCTGTGTTTCTTCTCTTTCAGCTTCCCTTGCAGGAGTCCCGCTGGCAGGTCAGTATTTGTAATAGAGAGTAGAGCATGAGTTCAACACACACAGCTATCACACAATGTCATGCAGAATGATGCTGTGCCTGATATGGAGCTTTCAATATGCTGTTCAGGGTCAAGAGACTTTGGTCTGAAACCTGGTTCTGTGGCCAATGATCTCTCTGTAACTCACATTCTCCTGATCAGCTGATGGAGAAGACCCAACTCTACCTCCTGTGTGCCCTGTGAGGTGCAGCTGGTAACCGCTTGGATATGTCTGGGTGAAAGCAGCAGGACTGACCCCGAACATTGACAAAACAGCTGCTCATTTTAGCAAAGTTAAACCAGAAGCTGGGATATCCTCAATGCTGGGGTCTGATCTCCATGAGGTGGAGGAATGTCTCCTTGGGCTCATGAGCCGATGTGGAGGCGCTTCAGAGTTTCAGAACTTGGCACTTTTCAGTCTCTGAATTTCTCCTACTGCTGCATCCCAGATCCATGCAAAGGGACAAGAGTATCCAGAGAGACTTGGTTCTAAGTATTAGGGTGGAAAACAGTGTTATGAGTGAAGGTTGGGCATCCGGAGCTGGTTTTGAGAAGGATTGTGTGCCCTGGTGTGTTCAACAGCTGGAACAGGACCAAGTAATTAAGAAGGTCCTTTCCATTCCCGAGTGCTGACTGTCTGTAGGTCCACAACAGCACTCAGCAATCACTGCCAATAGCTGAGCAAACCCAACTGTTCCCCTGGGGAATAGGTACAAGTGTCTCAATTCTCTCCATCCTGCTTCCAGTCCTTGTAGCAGCATTTGCTGGGAGTCACTGGCCTTAATAATAGAGAAACTTACCCAGAACCTGGATGCTGGAGTGGGTTTGGGAGGAGCTACACCTTTCCCTTTACAGTTGAAAATGCACCCTGTGATTTGTACCTCAAAACCAATTTATGGTCTCAAAAACACCTGCAGCTTTTGGCCGTTCCCAGCTCAAAATCTGATTCTCAAGCATGAAAGATTTGGGATGCTAGAATAGCCTGGGCTTTTGTTCCTCGTGGGTTGGCAATACAGACAGCCTCAATGGGGAGGGAGAGGCTTCCTTCTCATTCTCTGCCTTCTCCCTGGGTTGTCTGTTCTCTCCAGAAGATGAAGATGCAACCAAAGTTGAGATCCGCCTCGTTGGTGGCCCCAGCCGCTGCTCTGGGAGAGTTGAGGTGCTTTACAAGGACTCCTGGGGGACCATCTGTGATGACCAGTGGGATTTACGGGAGGCGAAGGTTGTGTGCAGGCAGCTGGGCTGTGGGACGGCGGTGTCAGCTCCTCGAGAGTCTAAATATGGGGAAGGGAAAGATCAAATCTGGCTGAGTGACGTGAACTGCAAAGGGACAGAAGCGTCCCTTGCCGAATGCGAGGCGAAGCCGTGGGGAGACAACGTCTGCAACCATGTGGAAGATGCCAGTGTGGAGTGCTCAGGTAACCCCCAGGTCTTTCCTACTTTGTGCCACATTCGTTCTTCTGCTTCAAATAATCCAGAATGCAATTTCTGACCCACCGATTTAGGAGATCAGGGATAAAAAATGACTTTATTGAGCTCCAGCTTCCCACCCAACTTGACCCAAAGAAGTTGCATCCCAACTCCTGGACCTGGAACAACCTGCAAAGCTGGGACACAGATACTCCCCTCACTCCCCTGGCAGCCTCCATCCTGATATTATTTTACCTTCAGGTCTTCTTCTCAAGGCAGAAGCTAGGAAGTGAGTCTTTTACAGGTTTTTGGGATTAGCAGGGACAGTTTGGTGCATCATGGGAGATTCTGCTTTCTCTAGGTGATCAGGGGCTCAGAGACTTGTTCTAAACCTTCTCCCTCATTTGTTTTTGACAGAAACAGACATAACTGAGCCAGGACCAGTCCGGCTGGTGGGAGGCCCCAACCGATGTGCTGGGAGGGTCGAGGTGCTTCATGAAGAGCAGTGGGGCAGCGTGTGTCACGATGATTGGGATCTAAATGATGCCCAAGTCTTGTGCAAGCAACTAGGCTGTGGGGATGCGGTGCTGGCCCCCATTGGAGCCAAATTTGGCCAAGGATCTGAAACTATCTGGCTGGATGACGTGAACTGCACAGGGGTGGAAGCTGCTCTCTCTGAGTGCTCGGCGAGGCCATGGGGGGACCACAATTGTTACCACGGGGAAGATGCCAGTGCAATTTGTTCAGGTAATCCTTCCATTCTTCTGCTTTTGCCAGCCTCATGTTAGAGTGTCCTCACAGTCAACACGGGGACACCCTTGGACAAGAACTAGGGCTTCCTATGCAGCACTCCCTGCTGACTTGATGCTAACCTAATAGTCCTGCTGGTGGCCTGAGGTCCTTAAATCATGGAAGAGGGCTTCAGTCTGGCAGTTTCTTTCCTCCCTGCTGACTGGGTTTGTCTGTGGCCATTTTTCTTCAGATCAGGTTTGAGGTTATGACTGTCATTGTGCTTCTTGCTTGGGCATGTCATATGTGGAGTAAACCATGGAGGAGAGGCCACTCTGTGGAGGGCAGGGTGGGGACACTCCAGAAAGAGGGACGACACACAGCGATGCACAATCTGGCCATGTCCTCTCTGGATGTGTCTGCAGACTCGGGGATCACCGTCTCAACTTCAGTCCGCCTTGTGGGTGGCCCCAACCGCTGCTCTGGGAGAGTTGAGGTGCTTCACAACGGCATCTGGGGGACCATCTGTGATGACCAGTGGGATTTACAGGAGGCAAAGGTTGTGTGCAGGCAGCTGGGCTGTGGGAATGCTGTATCAGCCCCTCCAGAGTCAAAATACGGAGAAGGGAAAGGCCAGATCTGGCTGAGTGACGTGAACTGCACGGGGACAGAAGCGTCCCTTGCCGAATGTGAGGCGAAGCCGTGGGGTCACAACATCTGCAACCATGTGGAAGATGCCAGTGTGGAATGTTCAGGTAAACCCTCTCCATGCCCCATCCTGCACGTGCTGGGCAGTAGAATGGGCAGATCCCACCATGCACATGCCCCCTGCTTAGATTAGGGCTTGTCCTGAGACCCAGTGCAGCTCTGTGGATGTCTGCTGGGGGGAACTAAAGGGGGATGCAGCTGATTAACTGGGTGCAGTGCTTGCACAATGGCCCAGTGGGGACACCTGGATGTAGCTGACCCAAGGTCAGCATTAAATCCTCTCCTGCTGGAGACTGCTCTGATCCCTTGTCCCATCTTGGCTGTAGAGTGATTGTCATCAGCAGACTCCTTGAAGCAAACACACAGTAGAGCCTGTAGTCACCCATGAAGATGAGGAAAGCTTCCTCCTGCTCTTTTTCAAACCCCCTCTCACTGTCTTTTCTGTCTTCCTCCCAATCTCAGCAAAGCCTAGTCTTTGCCATATCTCTGGTATGCTCAGAGACACCAGAGTTTCTGCAGAGAAGGAGGTCTTTCTACAGGTGGTGGGGTGTGTAGGACACTCTCTTAACATATATTTTCTGGAAATATATAGAGGTGGACATTCCTGAGGAGGGGCCAGTCCGGCTCGTAGATGGCCCGAACAAGTGTGCTGGGAGAGTGGAGGTGCTCCACGAGAACCGGTGGGGCAGTGTGTGTGATGACAACTGGGACATGAAGGATGCCAAGGTGGTGTGCAAGCAGGTGGGCTGTGGGTCACCATTGTCGGCTCTGGGAGGTGCCCGCTATGGGCGAGGGTCAGACATCATCTGGCTGGACGATGTTGAATGCAATGGGACAGAAGACAGCATCTTTGACTGTCAGGCCAGGCCATGGGGTGAACACAACTGCTATCACGGAGAGGACGCAGATGTTGTTTGTGCAGGTAACTATCCATCACCCTGGTGGCATCTGAAGTGATGTGGGGACAGGGTCAAGCACTTCTAGCAGAGCCAGGGGACAAAAGAAGAATCACAAGACACAAAAGCTTCACCAAGCTCAGGATAGTGCTGGTGGAGGCTTGGAAATGGATACAAGAGAGATCCATAAGGAACATACAGCACCAGGTGAGGGTGGGTGTGGTGGAATCAGCTGGTGGGAGCAGGGCATCTTCAGACCAGAGGCAAAGACACCAGTGACAGCCTGACTATGGGATGGATCCTGCCAGGGGAATACTGATGAAGGAGTTTTGTATAGTGCAAGGCTCCTAAAGGGAAAAAAAGAGGGAAAAGAGGGTAATTTCTGGGGCAGGAGGTAATGATGAGCATCCATAGAGGCAAGGGGGGGGACAGCTGGAGCTGTGTCTAGGGAGAGATGTCTCTGTATCAGGACATCATCAATACTCAATAGCATCAATACTCAATAGATGTCTGAGTTGGACTCTCTAAATCTCTCGGGAACTGAGTTCCTGACTTCTTAGGCTCTATTTCTCGGGAAAGAATCTTGGACAGGCCCTATATGGGTGAAGGGTGGGATCTCTGGGGATCTTTGGTTTCATTATGGAGGAGTAGGGCTGTAGGGACTTGGCTATCACCTGGATGCTGCACAGGGTCATGCTGTCAGGACCATGTGCTGCAGTCCTCTGGATCAAGCAGTGCGTTATGCTTCAGGGTCAGAGCCTTCTCTTCATGCAGCCCTGTCCTGGCTTCAAAAGCTCAGGTGCTTGGTTCCTGATGGCCCCAAATATATGAGTATAACCCAACCCAGAGAACTTCCTTGGGAAAGGTGCAGAGCCCTTGTCACTTCTGGCAGGGAATTCTTGTGTCATAGAGTTGCTAGAAGCAGAGTTTGCTTTACCTCATTCCCTTTTCTCTGCAGTTAACAAGAACCTGGAGGAACCAGAAGCACCATGAGTGCCAGACTGACCCCACTGGACCATGCTCATCTTGCTGCAGGAAGATGGGCCAGCAAGATTCAGCTGGGAAGGCAAAGGGCAGGGATGTTGCAGAACCATCAGTGTGCCATAATGGGATCCAGGGTTTGGCAAAACCATTCTCTTTCCTCCTTTGAAGGACCTATGAACTTGGTTGTAACTGCACTGGTGAAAACCCCACCTCAACACACTGCTCCCACTGCAAAGCAAACATCACAAAGAATCAATAAAGTTGCCCTAAACCTGAACATCTGGCTGGCTCATGGACCTCTGCTGCCTGAGCGCACCTCTGGCAGGGAGCTGTTGGTCTAACATGATGGATATTTAAGTAATGAATTAATATGATGGATATTTATATAATGAATTAATATGATGAATATTTATGCCGATAATTTGGCACCATACCATTTCTCGGGTCTGCAGAGAAATATTTGCCTCCGCTGACATTCAGACCAGTAATGAGGGCAGCTGTAAGAGCATTGGGATATTAACACTGCACAACACAAGCTTGTCTCTGAAGGTTTGTGTGTGTGTTCCTTTAGAAGAGACCAAGGGGAACTGGCCCACATAGGTAACCCCTTTTCTGCCTTCACTCTTCCACCAGACCAAAGCTGCCACTTTACAAGTGGATAATTTCCCATTTCAGTGATGTCCAATCAAGACTTAGCCTCCAACACATATATTTTTTTGTGATTTGTTGCTTTCCAAAAAGCAACGTGCTTTGTGCCTGTCAGCACAGCACAAATGCCTTAATCCCAGTGAAGCAAAGAGCAGAGGTCTTCAGCTCAGTATTGACATTGTGTGCCTCCAAGTCAGTTGGCCAACTCAGGCTGGGAAGGACAGATGACTGGGTCCTCTCCCCCACCTCTCCACAGACCAGTTCACCCTATTCCAAAGCAAGTCTAAAGCAGCAAATATGACCCTGGTTTTGGGAGGTGCCCTAGTTCAGTGTGGCTCCAGGGAGGGCAGAAATGAGGTAAAGCTGACCACAGTGCAGACTCACAGGAACAGGAAGTTCATATACATACCTAACTTTTTTTTTTTTTTTTAAAGAGCGGGTGAGAAGAGACACAGAAATTGTTTAAGGCTTGGAGGGAACTTCTCAGAGGGCTGTGAAGTTCAGTCTGTCTCACTTGCAAGACGGCAAGCTATGTGAGGACTTCATGGCAGTAATTTAACATTTATTCAAGGAAGATTTCTGGCTACTCAAGGCTGTCCAAGCTCATGCAGCAACAGCCCAATATGTATGTAATATAACCCTACCATCAGCACAATACAGGTTTTGTGGATTAGAGACATTATCAGCAGGAGAGGATGAACTGGCATGGGAATTGTATGCCCTATTGGGCAGGGAAGGCGTGCTTATATGAGATGCTGCAAGGATTCAAGTTAACTTCAAGTGCCCAACAGTGTTCTCCAAATATTCTCTCCACTCCTGAGAGAAGACACCTTCTTGTGGCAGGAACGGTGGCCATTGGGACCTGCATTCCATGCAGGAATCAACAGAGGTACCCAAATTAGGTACAACATCACCCAAACCTCCTTCTACAGCCAGGAAGAGAAGTCATAGGAGGTGATTCAGAGGGTAGCTGGGCTGTCTTGTCCCATGCAAGTGTATCTCTCCATTAACTGAAAGGGTTCCCAGGGCAAAGATGCCCCTGATTTGGGCACGTCAGCTGGGTAATGCATTTGAGTGTGATAGATCTGAGTCTCAGTGGTTTGCTTCTGTACTGCATGCTCTTTGGACTTCAGAAATCACTTTTGTCAGGGTTAAATGAATGTTGTACACATGTTGGTTGGTAATATCATCTCTGTTTTCCATTCTGGAACATCTATGAGGTTTACATCCCACCTGGAAGGAAATGTATGCAAACTAGACTGGTAAAAGCAGCTTGCTTTAGCCTGACAGGCCACTGAAAGTATTTAGTGATATTTAGAAAAAGCAAATAAAAAAAATGTGCTGGGGCTTGGAGGGATCAGCATCGTCCCTCAATGCACAAAGCTCCAACTCCACACCTCCAACTTCACTTCATGGTATATTTGTGAGATAAGAAGGGTGGACTGGGAAAGGACAAGGACATCCATCCTAGAAGCTTAGTATTGACTAATGCCTCGTAGGATGGGTCATAGATGAAGGTTACCTGAGCATACAACGCTTGCATCTTCTCCGTGATTACAGTTATGGACTCCCCAAGGCCTCGCCGCACACTCAGAGAGAACTGCTTCTCTGCCAGAGCACTTCACATCATCCAACCAGATACGGCCTAAACCTTGCCCAAAATAAGCTGAGCCTGGGGCGGACGTGGCCATCCCGCAGCCCAGCTGTTGGCACACCACTGCAGCATTTTTCAAGTCCCAGTTGTCATCGCAGATTGTCCCCCACTGCTGGCTGTGAAGCACTTCAACTCTCCCAGCACAGCGAGTGGGGCCATTCACCAGCCGGAGAGGAGGCACTTCTGGAGTACCTGCACAAAAAGCAAACAAAAATGATAAATCCACAAAAACCACACTGCACCTGAACCCTGCTTACACATTGTAGGGAATGAGCGCCAAACAGGCTGTTTCATAGATAAAAAAAAAATGGCTAAAGAGGACATTTTGGGTTTCCATTCAGGATTACCCCAAAGTTTGTGTGGCTTTGCACTGCCCATAGACTGGCAGAAATGTCCCAATTAGGACTGAGAGTGATATTTCAGTCTTCCAATCAGTAAGACAAGCTAATGCATCCATCCCAAGCAGGGATGTTTCAGATGGTTTGTTTGAATCATTGCAGTGACAAGGGACCCTGTGCCTGCTCTGAATAAATGGTATTTTGCTGGGCTGAACTCTGAAATCAAAATCAGATGTTATCTACAGACAAAAACCGTATAAAGGGAGCAATTTGGGAGCCTCCAATTAGGTGTCTTTTTCCTCTTGAGATATGTTAAGGCATCCTTGCAATCCTCCAGCTGTCATGGTGGAAGTATGTGGGTCTCATAGTTCCACATCAGCCAGCCCCATGCAGATGTCTGCATACTGTTAGTCATCTTCTATAGCACAGGGTACCTATGTCCAGGAACATGTTGCATGCCGAAATAAACTGGATCATATCTGTGAAACTTTGTAACGTCCACCAGTGAACAGACTGCCTATACTGCTGAAACTTCATTTTGGCCTTATACATTTTACTCCAGTTACTGCAATATTCACCATATATGTTCTGGATAATTTGCAAGGAAAAAGTAGATTATGGTAATGTATATTAATAGGCACTCATGCTTCCTTGAAGACTCCCATGGCTGGTCAAGCCAGCGGAACTGGATAAAAGTTGGTCTCAAAAACTATCAGCCAACCCTTTTCTGCCCTGAAGCAGTGTGCCAAATAAAGTGAGTCAAAAGGGGAGGTTAAAATTAGATTTTTAAGAAGGGATCTGTCCTGTCTATAGCTGAGAACTCATCACTGGGTGACGGCGTTTCAACCAGCTCAGCTGCAGGTGTGTACTTCTCTATGTCATGGTAGGGGAGATGGCTCCTCTTGAAAGAGCATTCTCCTGAAGCTTCTCCTGAAGCTTCCCAAAGCTTTTCATGGAAGGAAGAAGAGACTCCAGGAAAGCTTGACTACCTTAACAGTCTGACATCCCAGAAATGCAGGAAAGAAAAAGTTGAGAAATCAAGATGCCTGATTTAAAGGAAAGTATTGAGATGGCTCGTGATTGTCCTGATTCTTGAGCCTGGATAAAGGCCTGCTGGTCTGACCTCATAGCTTACCCCACTTTGAGCAGGTGTAAAGACCTCCTGTGGTCCCTTCAACCTGAATTATGCTATGAGCCTCCCAGTTGCTTTAACGAAGCAAGAGGTTTCTTCTGGACTACAGATTGCAAGGGACACCGGAGAGAGAACTGAAAAAGCACTTAGGTGCAAGTCCTGTAAAGACACATGCAGTGGCTTCAGGTTTCTAAAGTTCTCTATGAATCCTGAAATAGGAAATTTTATTGCTTCTAATGATAGAAGAAAATGGATTTTCCAATCAGACTTTCTGAAAACGCTGCTTAAGCTTAGATATGATCTTCATGTAAAAGTGTAGTCTCAGAGGTGACTCTGTCTACAAGGTTGTACCTCAGCAAAAGATATTTCTGGGACCTATCCAGCTGGGAAAAGTCTTGGAGCCTTCGGAAGCTGAGGTATTGGACACTAACTCTGATATAGCTATCAGTCTCAGGCTTGCTGACGGTAATTCCATAATCCTGTATCAGTGGTGACTGCTGACCGTGGTCAGGGCCATGAGTGTTGTATAAATTACATGGGAATGGGTTTATACACCACAGTGATTAATAACACAGACTATGAGCATCAAGAGCTCAGAGAAGACCTTCCACTGAGGGTGAAAAACCTTTCCCCAACATCATTGAGACCAAGACACAGAGAGGGGTTACCTGAGCACACCACACCAGCATCTTCTCCATGCTTGCAGTTATGGGTCCCCCAAGACCGGGCCTTACACTCAGAGAGGGCAGCTTCGTTTCCTGAGCAATTCACATCGTCCAGCCAGATGGGGTCAGGCCCTTGCCCAAAATGAGCTGAACCCGGAGCTGACAGTGCTGCCCCGCAGCCCAGCTGCCTGCATACAACACTGGCTTCAGCTGTGTCCCAGCCATCATCACACACGGTTCCCCACTGCTTCTCATGAAACACCTCCACTCTGCCAGTGCAATGATTTGGACCATTCACGAGCCGGATGGGAGCTGGTTCTAAAACACCTGGAGCAAAACACAATTGCAAAGTGTTCAAGGAGCCTTGCATACCTCAGAGCTCCATGGAGAGGGCAAAACCTGCTTCTGACATAGGTCCTATGTCAAAAAAATGTGGTGTACTTGGATGTTGATCACCAAAGGATGTGAGATTTGCTACCTAGATGAGCCAATTTTCACCTGTAGCAGATCACTACTGGAGAGGGCTTCCAGGAGCTGAAGTCTTGGCTCAGAGCTCCAGGGTAAGCTGCAAA